CTAGGGTCATATTGTGTATCTTAGAGTTGGGATTTCCACCTCCTCTTCATGACTCACTCTTTGACTGTGTTTCCACTATGGCAATTGCCTCCTCTAGTATACCCCTTCCTGCTGTCAGTTGCATTCTAATAAAACTTCCCTTCTTACTCTGTCATCCTCCACCACACTCTCCTCCACACTGGATGTATCTTGTTATTTCCTCTCATCAGAGTTGTACCATTCCTCTAAACAGAATTAATCTTAGAAATTTGATTTCAGGCTATGTTTTGTGAAGGATGCCCTGAGTGCCAAAGTATTAGGCTCTTGCCTTGGACCTATCAGAAATGTCTGCTAGAGTGTGTATGTCTTGATAACATGCTATGGAATGTAGTCAGGTACAAGATAAAAATGCCTTTTAGTGGCTTTTACAGTACTTGACATTTTTTTTTGACATATTATCAGAGTACTTCACACTTCATTGAGAAACTATGAGAAAAATCAACCAGGTCATCAGAACTATTTTTAAAAACAAGTTTTAAAACATTTTTCACTAGGAAATTGTGAAGATAGGCATCTGACAGTGTCCTGATTGGGGATACACCAATGCCTTTGTGCAGAACCTATCAATAAAATGGATATTGGTGATAAAAATTTTTAATAAGGAAATAATTATGTGAGGAAAGATGGGGAATACCTGTGTTCCTTTTCCATTTGGAAAATTCTCATATTTACTCTAATCACTCTGATTTTTTTCCTTTTTAGCACTGACGGATGGGCTAATTACCTATTAATATCTCACCGGGAAGAACTAGTTTTCTCTATAGAGAAGGAAGAGTGCGTAATGCAATTTCTTTTCATGTAAATATTTCATATGTTTGTAGGTGGTAAAGTCCTATACATGGGTTCAAAAAATCAACCGCACAAATATATGAGGGAGATGTTGCTAGAAAACTATTCTTGTGAAAAATATGTGGAGATTTTAGTGAACTGAAAACTCAATATGAGTCAACAGTGGAGTAGCCATCCCTCCTTTACCCCCCAAGCGATATTATATTGCCCCTTCTCTAACCACCCCAAAAATGATGTTATATTTAGCTGAATTTTTCAAAAAGTGTCATGTCTTAAAAAGGAGGTAATAGTTCCATGGTATTTTGATCTGGTTGGAGTATTGTGTTCACTTCTTGATATCTCATGTTAGGAAAGAAAATTTAAAAAAAACAACAACTGTAATGGGTCCAGAGGGGTCACCAGGATTGTGAAAGCCTTGAGACCACAATATATGGGGTTCAGCTGAAATAGCTGGGGATATTTAGCCGGGAGAAGAAAAGACTTAATAAGGAAGTGACAGCTGTCTGTATCATCTAAAAAGGCTTAGATTAGGCTTGCTTTGCTTGACTTTGAAGGTAAAACTAGGACTGATGGTAGGAGTTGTAGATCCAAGCAAAGAAAAACTTCTTAACAATTAGAGGTATCCAAAAGAATACTGAATTATCCAGGGAAGGCTGAATGATCGCTTTAGGAATGTAAAGGAATGAATTCTCGGTAAGGCATAGTTTAGACTAGCTGAACCTGAAAGTTCTATGATTCTGTGATAGCCTTGATACCAAGTTGAAGGTGGAAAAAAATGGAAAAGAATCAGTCCAATTTATTATTTATTCTGTTTTATTATCCGTTTGATTATTAATTCCTTTTTCTTGTCAGCTTCCTCCACCAATGAACCAATGAACTGACTTGGTTTGTTTTTGTATTATGTAAACTCAGCCTGAAAAATATGTTTAGGTGAATACTACTGTTACTTGCATTGTATAACTTCTGTGTCAAGACTGTGGTTGTTGTTGTTTACTAAATACTGAATACGTTACTAAAGAAGTAAAGCAGTCGTGTCTGACTCTTCATGACCCTGTGGACCATGCTGCCCAAGGACGGTTCTTGGCACATATATGGAGTGGTTTGTAATTTCCTTCTCCCATGGATTAAGGCAAGCAGAGTGGTTTGCCCAGGGTCATACAGCTAGTAAGTGTCTGAGGCTGGATTTGAACTCAGATCCAGAACTCTATCTGGTGAGCCATCTAGCTATCTAATGTAACATGATTTCTATATAATATCCCCTAAAGGGTCAATGGCATAAGTCCAATTAATTTGGCTAAACTAAGGTCCAGTCTGGATTTCTACCTAGATTATGTGTACGGATAGCATACTATCAAGACAAATTTTTATGAATTCCAAAGTTACCTTGCCATGGTTAATTCAGTTATATCATAGGTTCAAGGCCACAGTGAAAGATGTTGCAGTAATTAGAATGGAAGAATCTTAATGACAGAGATTTAGAGATTATCTGGTACAGCCTCAGAGATACATGGCTTAGATCCAAAGGCCACGGAAACATTCCTGTGCTCAAGGAACACTAAGGTTTAAGGATTAATGGTGCCTTCAAAATTACTACTTGTGTTTCCTGGTGGTGATAAACTTCAGTCTGATGCAATTCATACCACCATAGTTAGTCATTGCTAGGTACTATAGCCCAAAAACCTAGAATGTATGGATCTCATTAAATTGAATCCAGGGGGCAAAATATCAGCTATTGGGGTGCCAGCACCAGCCTGGTGAAGTGGAAGGAATATTGGAATTGAATCCTGACTCTGTCACAATTACCAGTTGTGTGAAGTTGGACGAGTCATTTAAGGTCTTTTAACCTCAGTCTTCTTATCTGTGCAATAGGGATAATAATTCTTACATTGTTTATATTATTGTATGTAGTATCTAATCTAATATAATAATATATTGCGTTATATTATAACCCTAATAGGGTTGTTGTGAGGATCAAATGAAATGAGAGGAACATTTTACGTTGCAAACACTATTAGTAATAGGTCACATTACACACTTCATCCTCACCTCTACCTCTTAGAATCCCTGATTTCCTCCAAGGCTCAACTGAGGGACCACTTCCTACAGGAAGCTTTCCCTGATCCCCCCCCTCCCAGTTTTCAGTTGTGTCCCTCTCCTCAAATTATTTTGCATTTATCCATCTGTTGTATCTTCCAGGAGACCATCAGCTTCTGGGGAGCCAAGACTTTGATTTTTTCCTGTCTCTCTTTCTGCCTCTCCTGGATTTTGGAGCTATCAGGGTCACCAGAGAATACCTACTGTAGTCTCCTCATTTCACATAATACTTGATGAATGAGGCTCCATCGAGATCTAGATGTATATGATAAATAATGATAAGGTAACAGAGTCCGTCAATCAGTAAGCATTTATTAAGTGTCTACTGTGTGCGAGGCACTGCAGATACAAAGAAAGGCAAACGACAGTCTCTGCTCCTAAGGAGTTCACAGTCTAATAGGGGAGACAGCATGCAAACAACTGTGTACAGACGTGCAATATACAAGAAAAATGAGAGAGAAACAGCAGAGGGAAAAGGGCCAGGGAAAGGTGTCTTGCAGAAGATAGGACTTAGCTGATATTTGAAGGAAATGAGGAGGAAGAAGTAAAGGAGGATAGAATTCCGAAAGCCAGTGAAAATTCACAGAGTTGGGAGATACATTGTCTGACAAACAGGAAGAAGACTGATATAACTGAACTGCAAAATACAAAGGGATAAAGTGTAAGAAAACTGGAAAGGTAGGAAGGGGCCACATCATGAAGGGCTTTGAACACCAAACAGGATTTTATATTTGATACTGGAGGTGATTGAGAGCCATCAGAGGGTATTAGCTGAATTAAAATGGGGAGAGACTCCTTAGGGCTTAATGACTTGAATAAGGTAATACAAGTAGTGAAAGAAGCAGTCAGGATTTGCATCTGGACCTAGCCCTCATTCTTCTCCACCCCATTGCCTCTAACACTTAACTGCAGTGCCTTGTACTTAGAGGCACTTGACAAATGTTTGTTGAATTGAATTTTTACCATTGCTTTTCTTACAACTCTACTAAATAACAAAAATAGCTAGCATTTCTGTGATGCTTTAAAGTTTGCAAAGTACTTTCCAAATGTTACCTCATTTGATCTTCACAACAGCTTTGGGAGATGGGTACTATAGAAGAAGAGGCAGCTAGGTGGCTCAGTGGATAGATTGCTGGGTCTGGAGTCAGGAAGACTCCTCTTTTCTGAGTTCAAATCTGGCCTCAGACACTTCCTAGCTGTGTGACCCTGGGGAAGTCACTTAACCCTGTTTGCCTCAGTTTCTTCATTTATAAAATAAGGTGGAGAAGGAAATGGCAAACCACTCCAATATCTTTGTCAAGAAAACCCCAAATGGGGTCACAAAGAGTTGCACTCAACTGAAACTACTGAAAAACCACACAAATAGATGAAGAAGCCTTAGTTTGGCTGAGAGCAATGAAGTCATACAATTTAGGGTCATATGGCTAATAAGTGTCCAAGACAAGATTTCAACTGTAGTTTTCCTTGACTTTAACATGGGGATAAGAATGGCTCCCATCTCACTGGGTTGTTCTGAGGAACAATTGAGATAATATTTATAAAGTGCTTAGCACAGTGCTCCACGCATAGTAGATGCTACATAATTTAGTATTCCTTTCCACCTTCCTCTTTCTGACTCGATTCTCATACTCTAGTCTTTGTACAGATGAGAAAACAGGTTCAGAAAAGGTGAAGTGGCTTGTTTATGGTCACAGAATTAATTAATGTTAGAGTCAGGATTCAAACTCAGTTCTCTACCTCCTATTAGTCTACTCTTCTGTCCACTCCCCTTTGCTTCCTCTTAATAATGACAGTAACAACAGGTGGAATGAGGATGATGTGAGATCATGCTTTCAGAGTGATAGAAAAGTACTGAATTCTTCTTCAACCTAGTTTTGATATCATAAATGAAAATTAAGCCTTCAGAGGAAGCCTGCTATAATGTATGGACAACAGGCCGTGGGGTCACTGTGACCCAGGCCAAGTCACTTAACCTTCCAATGCCCCTAGATAACCCTCTGAGAATCTAAGTTACACAACAGGTACAAGTCTGTGCCCTAACTCCTGTCCATTCAAAGAAAGAAAAAGAAAAATTGAGCCTGATTTGCTTTCCTTTTATTGTTAAGAGTGGCACATGAATTTGTTTATGGATGTATTTCTGAAAAGCGTACGTCAAAACTTTAGAAATGGAACCATGTTTCAGATGACTCACATTTCTATAACCCTTTAAAGCTTTACAAAGCATTTTCCTGTGAGGTAGTCAGTACAAGTCTTACATCTTACAGATAAAGAATTGAGGCTCAGAGGGTTGAGGCATCTTACTAACGCCTTCACACAGCTAGTAAAGACCAGCATAACTTGTCTGATACTCTATCCACAATACTACATTGCCTCTTAAATGTCCCAAGCGTTCTTGCTATAGGAAATCATATAGCAAATCCTTAAGTATAGTAAAAATTACCCCATAATTTATTTTGCAAGTTCTCACTTTTGTGTATCAGGTTTCTTTAGTGGGGCAAACAACTATATTCAATGAAGCATCAATGTAAATATTCTGAGCAATGCAATTGTTTAAAAAATTATGTTGCTTCTTGTCTTCAGTCATTTCTGTAACTACAATTATGTAGAAAAATGTTTTCCAGACATAACATTATTTTTGAACTTCACAAACATATTTCATTGGTAATTAGAGTCAAAAGAACCTGAGTTTTTCATTTCTAAACAAGGAAATGATGCTCTATCAGTGAAAGAGGGAGGCAGGAAGTCCTATAAAAGGTTGTAAGTTTTCCATATACAAGTATTTTTTAATGCATGTGCTAAAATATTGTGTTTATGCCATGCATTATAAGCAATCACTGATCCAGCAATTGCCCGACAAGATGCAACACTGACTATGCTTTAAGAAAACAATCTAAGGCTTGTCAAGCCAGTTTTATGCATAAAGACATTGTTTTCCATATATGATGATACCATGCCACAGAGGTTTTCTTTCCCATTATTTTGTATAATAAAATATTTTCACTATATAGGGCAACAAAAATTGTGAGAACTATCATACCCCCAATATTTGATCTAATTGATCAGCAAAACCAGTCTCAGTCAGGTTTGGAGGATCAGTAGTGTTGAATTCATCATATAGATAGCCTACTACAAGTGATTCATTCATTCACTGCATTTGGAAAGTACTGTTGTATACCTGAGTGTAGCTATTCACCTGGGAAAGTGGGACCATAGGAATATAGAAGATGAAAATGTCGATAGTTTATATTAAGAAAAACAAACCATAAATTTGGTAAGAACATTACAGATGTATGGAAGTATCATTCAGTCAATCTTACAGTCAGGTTGGTTTTTGAATAGAAAATATTTTCAAGCACTTCCATCTTCTCTCTCTTTCAAGTTAGATAGTATACTTGGTATTTTGTGGGTACATAAGTAACATAAATTACAAAACTGAAAGCAGTTTCGTCAGACTTTATTTTACATTTTTTTCACTAAATATATGAAGACAATTTTTTTTGCTTCAGTGCATTACATAGTCATGTTGCATTCAGTACAAACTGCTGAATATTTTTTAAAGAAAAAAGACAACTGATTATACAGCTAAGTATGCAAAATGATCTTTATAACTGTCAGAAGGAAAACACTAACAGTATCATTACACGTAATAGATGACTTAGAGAAACAAATTTGCCTTCCTACTTCTAAATCATTTACCCTGACTACATCACTTTCTAAAAAAAAAAGGATTTTGGTAAAAGCATTATGCCACAGAGCAAATACATTAACTTACCTTCTTGTACAAATGTGACATGACCTTGGCAGTTTTGAAGAACAAAGGCTCTTTCACTATATCAAACTTTTTTTTTAAACAAACTAGTGAGCATTGCTTTGTATAAGATTGCTTTAATAGCGTTTCTTCACAGTGATAGTTCAGAAAGGTTGGAAAGTGGTCAGCATAAAATATTTCCCACCATTTCTATTTTCATTTGTATGCAAAAATCATCACATTACATCAGTAATTATAAAATTACAAACACTTTCTAGAAGTAACTGCATTTCTAGCTATGGTAGAAAAAGTTATTGGTCAGACATCTAAAAATGATGGTGAAGTAACATAAAAAAGCTACGAATACAAAATACTTTCTAATGCACAGATAGGCAGTTAACTTGTTAAATGACATATAACAGTAATTTAAGGAAAACTATTAATGAACAAATGGGAAAGCACAAATAATTTATGAATGAGTTGAGGAGATGGAAGTTTGATCATGAAATGAAATTGACATCTGAAAAGATACTCTTGATAATGCGTCTTTAATCTTCATTATGGCACTTCATGGAACTACTAACTTTCCAAATCCCAATAGGCATCAAAAGTCACACAGGTCTTCCACTCACCAGAGTGCTGATAAACACTGAAACATAGTTGATTATGCATTCCCACTGATTTGCACACACATGCACTAGTCAAACAACAATAGCTTATTTAGGTTCTTGAAGATGCTACCTTGCAATATTGGTTTCAGGCAATCTCTTCTGCGGATCTTGTGTCATATTTCAGTCTTACAAATTCCTTAGCCACATCATCATTGGTCCTTTGAGAAAGTATCCTAAGGATTGTCAAGCCAGTGTCATCCATAAAGATGTTTTTCAATAGTGGATACCATGCCCCAGAGCTCCCCTTCTCCACTATATTCTGGAGTTGAATCACTGTCATTCCTATAACTCTATCTTCCCGCGCAAAGCAGTAATCTTTAACTGAGAGGTGAAGCTCATAGGCCTCTGGGCGGTTTTCATTACTCAGGATGCTGTAGGGATTAAAAATATGAATTTTGATCAAGGATATTAATTCTTTCCTGCCCTCTGATCCCCTAACCAACTCTGAAATCTTGTTGATGATTTTGTACATTGTTCAGATACATTTGTACTTGAGTAACTGGAGAGCAATGGAGTCAAAACCCTGATTTTCTCATCCCTTAAAAATCTCTGAGCTTTTTTTAAATGTAGCTATCCACTGTCTAGTCTTTAAATCGTATTGATTTTATAGACAACAATATAGCTTACGACAAATATCCAGAGACATTCAGATAAAGATTTTGTATTACTTTCTTGTAATTTGTTCATTGTACACATAATTTTTTGTTGGACTAACCACTTAAACTTTGTTTTCAATGTGTTTTTTCTGGTAGTTTTAACTGCAGCTAGTTAGACCACATGTGGCAAGGGCTATAGTAGAAAGAGCACTGGATTTGAGCTTTGTGTTCAAGATTAGAGTTCAAATACTGACTTAGCTACTTACTACCTGCAGACAAATTACTTAACTACTCTGATGCTCAGTTTTCTCATCTATAACATAATAGGACTTGACCAATTGATCACCAAGGCCCCTTCCAGCTTGAAATCCTATGATGATCAATGTCACTCTATACTACTCTCATTTTATGGGGGTGGCTATACCACTTCTCTATTAGCTGAATTTTACCCAGACTATCTTCCCTTAAATATGATACTGTGTGACCCTGAGCTATAAACTGATGGGGTCATCCTTAATAGTTTCTAAGTTCCCTTCAGGCACTAAATCTATGATCTTCTGATTTCCATCATGTGCCTTGTTCATAAACCCATGATTTTTTTGTTTTTGTTCAATTGTTTTACTCACATCTGATTCTTTGTGACCCCATTTGCATTTTCTTGGCAAAGATGCTAGAGTAGTTTGCCATTTCTTTCTCTAGCCCATTTTGTCGATGAGGAAACTGAGGCAAACTGAGTGAAGTGACTTGTCCAGGGTCCCATACATAGCTAGTAAGTGTCTGAGATTGAATCTGAACTCAAGTCTTCCTGATTCCAGGACTGGCGCTCTATCAGCTGCTCAAAGTCTCAATATCTTCCCATTAGGTAATGTTCCAACTCATCATTCTAGCATGCAAAATCTTTGATAAAGCTGTCCTTTTGCCCATCCAGTCTATTCTCCCACTTTGCCTTGGGTGCTCTTCATATTTGTCGACTCTAATTTATTTCCTGCAGTTCAGAGCAGGTTCTCTACAATGATGAAAAGATCAGAACAGAAGCTGGTGCTCAATGCCTAGAGACTCACGGGATTGCTTTGTAACCCTACTTCTACATACCACAGTTCCCTATGTCTTCCCTTTCCCCTTCTCCCCCTGTCCAAGCCTTGACTAGAGAGTCATATCAATGTTGATTTTCTCAGGGGGATATCCTGCACAGAATATCAAGATCTACTCTCAAGCATTTAAATTGAATACAAATTCTCTGCACCACAACAGAGCTCATGCCAATTTTTTCCTATGGCAACAGTTAGACCTGTCAGCTATGTGGCTGATGATGGCTTCTACTAATAATCTGAGACAACTTGGCAATGCAGAACAGAACAGAATGAAGAAGGCTGAATAGTGATATTCCAGGAACATTCCTTCCCCCCACCTTCTTTTGATTCATCTTCAGATATTCTGGGCTCTTAATGAATACACTATATATGCCCCAGCAGTAAAAATTTCCCAATTGCTTTTCACTCCAGATTTTTTCTGATCAAACGTTTTACAGGGTCTAACTTTTCCTCCTGGAAGAAACTGTTAACTAAGGTGAGAGTGCATTTTTGAGATAGTCTAAAGCAAAAGTAAAGGAAATAGTGACTAAAGCAAGGTGGAGATTGAGAAATGTTAGAACATATTTAGAATCAGTCTGTGCTATTGGGACAGAGAAAAGAAACCAAATGCAATGCTACCTCTAAAAGAATTCTCCATGTAGCCGATGATGGTTTCACTCCATAAGATCTTCTACATATATGTGTGTATATACACACACATTTTAACCAGACTAAGACCACCTGTTTCTGGGAAGTATATCAGCCTGCAGGATTTAGTTTCTTTGAGAAACTCATTAGAATGATGTGCTATAGCAGAAAGGGTAATAGCACTTACGTTCAGAAGATGTGTTCAGATCCCAGCTCTGTCATTTACTAGCTATGTGAGCTTAGGTAAAAGCATTTAAATTCTGTGAAACTAATTTCTTCATCTATAAAATGGGGAGAAGGCTACTTGTACTGGGGAGGGCTATTTGGAGAGTCAAATGAGACAATCTATATGGAAGTATTTTGCAATTATAAAGTTATATATATATATATATATATGTATATATATATATATATATATATATATATATATACACACACACACATATATATAATTTTCAGCATAAAATCACTACTATGTCTCAATACAAATAAAACCATAATAGCCATCATAATGTTATTATGATTCCCACTGTCACCTAAGAGGGAATAGGGTCTTGAGATTATGGGACAAAGAACAGGTAAATTATGGGCCCTAGGTTTTATTTTATTCACTAGAACCATTTCTATTTCTAATTATTTGACAGACTCAGTTGAGTTATGACTGATAGCCAATTAAATAAATTGTCTGTAAATTGTTAAATTTAATAAATGAGATTTAACTAATACTCACAACTGGAAAGTTTCATTGTACTTGGGCGACCAGGTGTTGCTTTTGGTCTTGGTGCCTTGTTTCCTTTTCTTGTCACCGAGGTTGGGTCCCAGGATAAAAACCTCCACAAAAGGGCGAAACATTGCTGTGGTTTGCCAGTGTAGGTCATTGATGGCAATGACTAAAATGAAAAAGAGAAGGGAGCAGAAAGCATTAGCATGAACATGTGCAGAAAGATAACATTTCCACATTTTGTCCTTAATAAGAAATTCAATATTGAGTGGTTGGTTTACTCCTGCAGTTAAGGAAATGTATCTGAAGGAAAACTGGATAGCTTCCAGGAGGATAATCTAACCATGGAGGGTTCCACTTCAATGTAACTATGAGGGCCTTCGGCTGGAGTTGAAATACTGCTGGGCACTAATCAAGAAGGATAATTTCTAAGTTTTCTTACTGTTCTTATTGTGATATGTAAATTAAGCCAGAATCAATATTTATCTTTAATTAAAGTCAACAAATCTTTTCTTTAAAAAGGGGAAGGTTCTTAGTTGAGATATTAATATCCTGGTTCATTTCAATTAGAGTCAATAAAAATTCACGGTCCATACACTGTGCCAGGATGCAAGAGCATAAAGACAAAAACAAAGAAGTTCTTGTCCTTGAGGAGCTTATAATCTATAATAGCTAGCTGATAGTTAAAGCGATATGTGTGTGTGTGTGTCTGTGTATATATATATATATATATATATATATATATATATATATACACAGACACACACAATATATGTGTGTGTGTGTGTGTGTGTGTGTGTGTGTGTGTGTGTGTGTGTGTGTGTGTAAATCAATACTGAGGGGCAGCTAGGTGGTGCAGTGGATAGAGTGATGGGCTTGGAATCAGGACTCAACTGCCTGAGTTCAAATCTAGTCTCAGATACTTACTAGTTGTGTGACCCTGGGCAAGTCATTTAACCCTGTTTGCCTCAGTTTCCTCATCTGTCAATGAGCTGGAGAAGGAAATGGCAAACCACTCTAGTATCTTTGCCAAGAAAAACCCAAATAGGATTACCAAGAGTTGGACATGACTGAAAAATGACTGAAAGCAAGAGATTGATACTGAGAGGCAGAGTGGACAGAGAGCTGGCCTCAGATTAAAGAAGAGGTAGATTTAAGCTCTACCTCTCACACATACAGGCAACTTTTAACTTCTCAGTACCTCAGCAAGACTATGTGTTACAGACCTGCCTTGACAGTGGGAGTTGTCTCTTTAGGAGTTCCCTAGATCAATGAAATCCCAGGTCCCTACATACTTCCCTTCTCTCACCTAATAATAATAATAATAATAATAATATTACAAAACAAATTACTTTTCCACCAAGCAATATGTAGTTGCCTTTTAAGGCTTATCTATCAAATAATTTTCTAGTCTAAATTAACATTACTGACTATTCAGATTGTGTTCCCACAGTGCCAAAAATCACTAAGTCATTCAGTGATTGTTTTCAAAAACCCAAATATTGGAAATCACAGAGATAAAATCCATCAAATACTAGACTATCCCAATAGCAACACTATCCTGATACCAGTATTCTTTAAATTTTAATTTTTAAATTCTAGACTTAGTAAGCTTCAAAGAAATATTTAAATAAACAAAATGAAGGGATTATGCACAGAACCACAAACACTAAATTGTTTATAATTTGTTAAAAAGTATATATCAAGTTCAACAAATTAAATTATTATATTTTCTTCCATATCCCTTCTGATCATCTTTTCCTCAGAATAGTAAAAAAAAAAATTGCTATCATTATTCTTCAAGTATCTATACCAAGGTCTAAGGAATAGTCCATAAATACTTTACTCAAACCCACTCATTGACTCCACCTGGGAGAAAAGATGGTGAAAAACATTTCCCTCCTCTTGAAAGAGACAAATTGTGAAGCTATGAATCCAGAATGTTGCATATCCTGGTATTTAATATTGATTAGTTAGTTAATAGCTATTTTGGTGCTGGTTCATAGAATTTTCTATGTTACTATGGAATATGGCAAACATTGTATGTGTGTGTGTAAATGAGGAAAGTGTCATGATATAAAAACAAAAATCATTATAAAAATCTCAAAAAAAGAAAAAAAAATCAAAATATTGAGATTTTTTTTCTAAGTATTGAGTTTTCCAACTTCTACCCAAAAACATCTAGAAAATTTCAAAGGCATTTTGTTTTGAGTAGAGATTCAAAGAAAAGAAAAATCACACTTTATTTCACCAGTTATCTAACATTCTAATCAAACACTTGGGTTGCTCAGGCTTCAGATTTACCTTTTACAGTCACTTTGTGCTCCCCAGTTCCTGGAATGGTTGAGATATCCACATGAACGGATATCTGTCCCACTGAATCATTCTGGGAGCGATCTGAAAATAACATTAATAGTATGCTTCAGTTTGTATTCAGATGACATCAGTTCTTTCTCTGGAGGCAGATGGCATTTTTCATCATGAGTCCTTTGGGATTGTTGTGGATCATTGTACTGCTGAAATAGCTAAGTCATTCACAGTTCTTTTATCATGCTATGCTGTTATTGTGTACAATGTTCTCTGGTTCTGCTCACTATACTTTGTATCAGTTCATTTAAGTCTTTCTAGTTTTTTTCTGAAATCATCCTGCTTGTCATTTCTTATAGCATAATAATATTCCAAGACAATTTACACCACAAGTTGTTCATCAATTCCTCATTTAATGGGTATCCACTCTGTTTCCACTTCTTTGCCACTACAAAAAGAGATGCTATAAATATTTTTGTGCAAATAGGTTTATTCCCCCCCCCCAACCTTAAAAAGAATCTCTTTGGGATACAGACCTAGTAGTGGGATTGCTGAAGCAAAGGGTGTGCAGAGCTTTATAGTAACATTTTAACATTTTGCCAGTGTTGTTGTATGGTTCTGAGTCATGGAACACTACATTTTCAAAAGAATTAAAAATGAGTCCACAATGATAGCATGAGGGAATTTGTCAAATGCTCTGCAAAACAAAATCATCAATAGATCCTGATGTACCATGGTATTCATTACTTGGAGTAGGGCTGACATCAAGATACTCAACAGTTATAATTTAGAAATTTAAAGATGATAAAATTAAGGTATAAACTAGGTGTCTTAATTCCTGGTTTGGGACTATTTCTACTGTTCTTGAAACTTACTTGAAAAGTAGTTGGCGGCATTAAATTCTATTGAATCTGATTAATTTTGGTATTCTTGGGTACAGACCAAGTTTTTAAAAATTTTATTAATTTATTTTGATTTATCAACAATCACTTCCATATGCTTTTGAGTTTAAAATTTTTCTCCCCCTTCCTCCCCACCACCCTCCCCAAGACAGTGCACAATCTGATATAGGCTATACATTTACATTCCTATTAAACATATTTTCACATCAGTGAAGTTGTAAGCAAAAATTAAAACCAATAGGAGGAACCATCAGAAAGAGGAAACCAAACTAAACAGAAGAGAGAAAAAAAAAGATAGCGATTCATCTTTCACAGTTATGATTGCTATCTGTGTCTTTTTCTCCATCCTTTCCCCTCCATTTATGCTTTTCTTTCTCCTCTCTCCCTTCCCCCCCATCAGTACTTTGCTTTTGACCACCACCTCTTTCAGTCTCTCCTCCCTTCTATTATCTCCGTCCCCCCTCTTCCCCTTCACCCCCACCGCTTCTTCCATCCCCCCTACTGCCCATAGGGCAAGTTAGATTTCCATACCTAACTGATTATGTTATTCCCTTCTTGAGTCAAACCTGATGAGAGCAAGGTTCGAACAATGCTTACCCCCCTCCCTTCTTTCCCTCTGCTGTAATAGGATTTTCTGTCTTTTCCTGTAATGTAATTTACCCTTGTCTGCCTCCTCCTTTCTCAGTACATTTTCTAAGATCAGACTAATCCACTTACTTGGATCCATTTAACCCGCTTGATTAGATTTTTTTCTTATCATTACATCAATGTCAACTAATATCCACCCCCTTTGTGAATACTCCTTTAACATGGTATAACAACAATACAGTTCTCAAGAGTTGCAAGTGTCATCTTCCCTTGTGGGGATGTAAACAGTCCACCCTTATTAACAACATTTTGTATCTTTCTGTCCCATTTACCTTTTTATGTCTTTCTTGAATCTTGTGCTTGAAGATCAAATTTTTTGTTGAGCTCTGGTGTTTTTATGAGGGCCTTTCTGATTCTAAGGACCTATGGTTCTATGTCTCTATGTCTCACTGTTGCTAGACAGTAGGGTTTGTTAGAATGATATGCTGTTCTGGGAATGATGCCCCTTGAGATTTGGCTCTTTCAACGAGAGGGAGACAGAAAGTGCTTAACTTGTGGGGCAGAGCTGGGAGGGGAGGGTCATTCTGGCTAGGTCTCTGAGGCTCTAAGCCTTCCAAGCTGGTTTCTCCATGGAATCTTGATCTGTGTCATCATAGGGTGACAATCTGCAGGAACCTTGTCTTGTTCATCCCATTTCCAACTGGCAATGTGTAAATAAATGGGAACTCTTTGTGTTGATGATCTAAGGAGTAAGATCCAGGGACACACCATGAGGAAAAAAAATTAGCTCCATCATTTACAATGCAACAGACCACTGAAGGGATGGTTTGTGATTTAAGGGTCAACGTGTCAAGGGCTCATGATTTTAATGGCATGGAAACTTCCTTCAACAACTCAGATAATACACTTATGTACTTTTCTCCATTATGGAGACAGTGTGGCCAGCTAGATGGAGACTGAGGCCTAGGAGTCAAGTGACCTGGGCTCTGGAATTTTGCTATTATATTTCTTGGCGTTGTCAATTTGGGTTCTCTTTCAGGTGGCGAGCATTGTATTTTTTCTATGGTTACTTTACCTTCTGGTTCTAGGCCTTCCGGGCAGTTTTCCTTTATGATTTCCTGACAGATACTGTCCAGGCTCTTTTTTTCATCATGATTTTCAGGTAGTCCAATGATTTTTAAATTGTCTCTCCTGGATCGATTTTCCAGGTCGATTGTTTTACCAATGAGGTATTTTATGTTTTCATCCGTTTTTTCATTTTTTTGTTTCTGTTTGACTGATTCTTGCTCTCTCAGAGTTATTAGTTACCATTTGTCCAATTCTAGTTTTTAACAGATTGTTTTCTTCTGTTAGTTTTTTGTACTTCCTTTTTCAATTGGCCAATTATATTTTTAAGGGATTTGTTTTCTTCAGTGTACTTTTTTTCCAGTTTGCCAATTGTGTTTTTTAGGGACTTGTTTTCTTCAGTGTACTTTTTTTCCAATTGGCCAATTATATTTTTAAGGACTCTTCTACCTCTCTCATTAGACTTTTAAAATCCTTCTTGAGCTCTTCTAAGAAGGCTTTTTGGGCTTCAGACCAGTTCATATTCCCTTTTGATGTTGCAGATGTGGGTTTGTTGACAATGTTGTCCTCTTCAGAATTTCTGTCTTGATCTTCACTCTTCTCATAATATGAATCTATGGTACATTTCTTTTTACTCATGGTTTCTTTATTCCCTGGCCTTTAAAGAGATTGAGCTCTCCTGCTGGGGAACAGAGGGCACTGACCCAAGCTTCTTGTGTTGGGAGCCTAGGTCTTGGTCACTGGCTTTGTGTGCTGGGGCCTCTTATGTTGGCAATTGGAGGCTGTAGGTTTCTGGCAGCTTACCTCATGTTGGGCTGGAATCAGCAAGGCTGGAACTTTCAGGCAATTCTAGGTTGCCTGCTTTTCCTTTCCCTTTTAGCTTTCTTCAGCTCCTTTTAGATGGGTGCTGCAGGGTGTTTATCTGCCTGGGGCCCCTCATAATGCTACCTCCCTCATTTCTGCTAATGTACTGGGAGATTCCTTTGTGGTAGAGTGCTGAGGCACCTGGTGGTTTTCTGAGCTGGTTTCCACCGGTTCCCCCTGCCTTCACTGAGGCACTCAGAGGTCCAGGTGTTGGTGTTTGCCTGCTCTACCACCTGGGCTTCAGGATCTCCTTCTGGTTGACAGTTGGTTCTGACAGCTTACCTGGTGTTGGGTTGGAATCAGCAAGGCTGGGACTTTAGGAAGACTTTAGGTTGCTTTCTTCAGCTCCTTTCAGATGAATGCTGCAGTGTGCTTATCCTCCTGGGGCCCTTTGTAGTGCTGCTTCCCTTATTTTTGCTGAGGCACTGGGAGACCTGTTTGCTGGGCTGCTGCACTGCTGTTCCAGGTTTTTTTTTCTCTAGGGTGATATTTTCTGGGTTTTCAGAGGTTGATAGGGGAGGGTGAGAGCTACTACCTTTTTACTCCGCCATCTTGGCTCCTGGAAGCAGAAGCCAGACCAAGTCTTCTCAATCCTTCCTCAGATGGAGGCCATCTGCTTCCATAAGCCCTAACAGTAGCTCTTCCTCATATTTCTCAAATCTAAGACCCCAAGCATTCTGGTTGCAAAGCCTCTTCTCAGGTAAACCTATAATATACCTCCCTAACTTGGCCCTTCACAGGCTCTGGGTTAGTACTACCACCATTATTTGTCATTTACTTAAAGCTTCCTTGATGAATAACTTCCTCCAGATTGTCTACTTAGTTGTATGGATGCTTAGAATATCCTCCCCAACCATCTTACTAAACCATCCCCTTTACAAAGTCTAAACCTATTTGGAAATATTTCCTTCTTGAAGCTTGCCTGGATGGCTCAGAGTAGAGTGAACTTTTGCTAACCACCTGATATGGAAGTCCTTTCTATTCTTTCTCCTGCAGTACCTTCAAGAGCTGTGCAGATCGTAAATTGGTGTATCTGTAGAATGGAGTGCCCTCATTACATTTTCTGGTCAAAAGAGGGTTAACCAGAATATTTTTTGGTTGGAACCTTTTTTGCTTTTCTGGTCATCATCAAAATTTAGAGAATTCATTTATCTTGTCTTTGACTATGAGCAAGTTTAAAAATGCAAGCTACAAATTAGGAAAATACATCAGTTTGTGCTTGGATCCCTTAAAGAGAAATGTTAGTTATGTTATTTTTTGAACAACTGAAAGTTAAGGAAACATGCCCAGAATCTTTTAATAGGAAATGATTAAGATGCTTGTTAACAACCATAATTTTCCTCATTTCTTCCTTTTTTTTTCCAAATAGCTCTTCTCTATTCTTCATCTACAATATACTCAGGATATATGTCTTCACAGTGATCTATAGGGTCAGATAGGAATAATCCATAATTGTACTCAGCATTGGCTGAATACTTGACAGCAAACCCCTGGGGTAGAAGCATTTACCAGACTGCAAAATACACATTTCCTTCTTCTTGACATGCCAAGGTGTGGAAATCCACTGCTCAGCTGACTCAGAGGTAGCCCTTAAGAATAAGTTGCTTTTTATGCCAAGGAGCCCAAAGTAAAGCAGACCAATTCTCCACCAAAAATAAAGGTTTTCTGCAA